ATATATATATATATATATATATATATATAGTATATATATAGTGCTTGTACGATACCCATTTACGGTGTTACGACAAACTGAACGTCACTACAGCTGAGTCTCATTTAATGGAATGGAATTCGGCACATCCAGCTGGTATTTAGGCTGGACATGGTATTGATCGCCAGAAACATGTGAATGGTTATGCAATGGCATAACCCCAGAGACAGTCTCCGTGTGCACCAGACGTCTTCAAGAAGGAAGACACGCACCTGAGGAACCCCGTGCTGTCGATCGATATACATCAATAGGCAAAGAGGATTGAAGCAGGGGCAGACGGAGCATTGTACTCACCACTGCGATAAGAAGCTGGTGCTTTCAGCGTCTGCTTCAGTGGCAAAAAGAAGCATATCAGAAGCAGGTACGGATCATTTAAAGGCTTCGTTTTTGGTGCCTGGCTGGCGTCTGGTAAGACCGACGGTCGACCGCAACGTGGTCCGCGGCTCCTCCAGCGACGGTGTGGTGGAGGACAACTTTGTTAACATCCTAATATGTTCTGGTGGAGCATTCATCGAGCAGAGGGCCTGCATGCGAGATACTTCCACAGAATATCTGGAGTCGGCTGTGCGTCTTAAGCAAGGTCTCTTGCGAGTAATAAAGTGCAAAAATTGCAGACGAACGTGCTGCGACCTGCTGCGGCGCCGCGTCAGGAGCGTGACCAGCGTCAGGAGCGTGAAGCGTGACGACGCCGTGGTTGTACCGGTGTGTCTCCAAAGTGGCACGACTCACCCCGTTTGAACGAAGAAATGTGCGGTTGCCAGATGGGAGCAGAAAAGTTTGGAAAAATGGATTTTCCAAGTTGCCGGAAGAGATCTTCTACCAGCCATTATTACATCGTAAGCCTCGAATTGCGTGAGACAATCTTAGTCCAAAATCCCACATTTCAACTCGCTGAAATAGATGTAGAAGCTTGAAAGAAATTGGTCTACCAAAGAAAGGTTTTTTTAGGGAACCTTTTTAATCCAAAGTATGGCAGCTTAGCTGTCATCGCCAGGATAGCCTACCTGCAATATTATCAGCTGATTGCCACTTCACTCTGGTTTTACCGACAACTGCCGGTCTCCGCCGACCTGCAGCACGGTTTTCATGATTTTCGGCGCGCTGTTTTTGGGCGCGCGCTGCGTCAGTTTGCGTAAGGCCGTACGAGAGTTGTTGTGTGGCAGGCATCGGGCTTCCCGCGGATGTTCTGTTCTGTGTTCCGTTCTATTTTGTTACCTTCTGTGTTCTGTGTCGTGTGTTCTATGTTCTTTGTTTTGTGTTTCGTGTTCCGTGTTTTGTGTTCTGATCTGTTCTTCCATGTGCTGTTCTGTTCTGTGTTCTGCTATATGTTCTGCTACTGTTCTGTGCTCTGTTCTTTTCTGTGTTCTGTTCTGTGTTCTATTCCGTCCCGTGCGGTCACGCAAGCCGGCAGACGACTCCGGACATTTCTGCAGCGGGACGCTGGACGCTGCAGCGCCGGCCAGCCAACACAGCGGCGCTGGACGCCGGTCAGCCAACACAGCGGCGCTGTAGCGCCGGTCAGCCAAACACAGCGGCGCTGGACGCCGGTCAGCCAGCAGCGGCGCCGCCTCCTACGCCTTCAGCTGCCCCGTGACAGCCGCCCGGCGGCCAACGTCGTCACCATCCAGATGCTCCACCAGCGGTCCGCGTCAACTTCAGCAGGGTCACAAGCACCGCCCCACCAGCATGTCCGTAGCGCTCTCCGGCTGCGAGATCACGTGATTTTATCACGTGACTTTAAGGCGCTTGTTGTTCTGTTTCCCATGGTACACATTAGGATGCTTATAGCTGTGGGAAGCAGCTTGCATTGTGTTCAAAGTTGTCAGCATAAAATATCATCAGCCGGTTCGACTAACGGTGAGAACTTCGCGTAAAACGGTTCGGATGCCACTGAGACCTGGCCCACCCTGATGTTGACTCTTAGCGGGGCAAGCCCTCTGTCGCCCACGGAAATAGATCCAAAATCGTGGCTTCCGTCAGAATCAAAGTTAACTAGTGTTGCGGTACGTGCTTACCAATCTACGAACACTCAGGCCCATCGCGGGTTATCGGCTGCGCCCATGGCTGTGACCATGCTATCGTTGATCTGTCCCAAGTAATCCGCTCACTCGGGTGTCGTCATGATATGCTGGCTTCTGGAAACCTGCGTTCCAAGATTTTGTATCAAAACATGCGCACCAAATGCATTTTCCCCTATGCTATATATGTGCTATACGTATCTCTGTGCATTGTTGTTTTCTCTTGTGCGCCTGGGTGCATAACAACCACCATGTGGATGCACCTTCGGTGAATAAATATGAATGTGAATATATATACATATATATATATATATATATATATATATATATATATATATATATATATGTGTGTGTGTGGGGGGGGGGGGGTGTGATCACCGTTTCCGGTGGTGAGCACAATATTCAGATACAAGATAGAAATTACACAGCCTTAAAAAGGTAGGCATAAAAATACTATATACCATCGTACTGTTGTCGACTTTTCAAATTATCACTCAATCAGATGTTTGTCAAACGCAGGTTATATCCGCCACCCGCGCCGCGCTTCAAACAGTGACGACGATGATTCTGAGAATGATCAGCCGTCGCGCACAAGGATCTGCTTGTACAGCTGTTTGCGCTGCTTGTACAGCTGTTTACGATTTCTGCATCGGCAAGCTTTTGGGGGCAATTCCCAAGGTTCAAGGCAAGGGAGACGGCAAACATGAACCCTCAAGGTATTCGTAGTCACATATGGCTTGACAGCGGTGCAACCTGAGGCCGAAAAAAATGGAAACGCGCTATAGATTTAAGTATTAACAAGTCCAATTTGAGAAGATCGAAGCCACGTTCCTGTGAACACCGGATAGAAGAAAGCGCATTCAGTTTTGAAAGGAAATTTGGAAAGTCGGCGGTGCATTAGGTTCCGACTAGCGGAAAACGTGCCCAAGGACAGGTTTTCAGAGCTGCCGCCCGGAGCCTGTCACGGTACTGAAAACGAGCTTCCTTTTCTTAACAATAGCAAAGAATCAACAATGAAAGACATGATGGAAGACGGCCATCAGCGCTAATCTCTGCAGGATAGCGGGAGCCGGTACACGCGAGACGTCCTCTCATGAGACCTGCTAAACGAGCCCCTACAGGATGGCTAGCTCGGAAAGCATACCGCCAAATCGTGACAAGCAGAACTGCTGTTTTGCTTTCCTGACTTGTGACAGTGCATTTGTTTCCAAAGCAAGAATACAGCTGTGGTCTCCCTGCAGGAAGGGATCGTCAGTGCTGGCTAACCGGAGTTTGAAACCCCGGAAACAAACATCAGAGGTGATGAATGCATTCAACACCGAAGCAGCGATCGGATTTCGAGCAAGTGAACCCCGTGATTCACAGGCATGTGGACGTGGGAGCCGGCCTGCATGCATGCATTGTAGCACGCGCAGACGCCGCCACTCGCGAAGCGTTCTGTCCACGCCAAGCGGGCTCGCAGGAACCCCAACCCCAGCGCGGGGTTCACGGCGTCGCGCAGGGTCCGCGCCAGCGGCGCTGGACGCTGAGCTCATTTTAAGCCACTTGAAAAGGTTTTACGGGGAGGAGACGTCAAAAGACTCGCGTTCGCTCCCAAGTTAGTTGGATGAGTTTAGTGAGGAGCGGCTTGACTCCGACAAGTGATCTGACTTCTCTGGGCTGGGCTGATATGACGTCACTGGGCTGTAAGGAGCTAGCTCCGCCCCTCGCGAGGAGCGCGCATGGCGAAAACAGACGAGCTCCGCCCGCGCTCCGCTCCTTGTAATTCTCAGAGGCCTCCGCTGCGCCTGGTGAATGAACAACCTTGTATGTTGTACGCGATCTGTTCCTGTCGAAGATAAGCCGGACCCTCAAGTCACCGACTGGACGGGGAGCGATGTGGTTTTCCTCTCCGCTGGTCGCGGTGCAGTCTAACGACCCGGCATCGACCCAGGGCTCTCGCACAACTTAATATTATTTTCCGCGAACGTTCCAGGAAGATCGCAGACTAGTGTTCCCAGCGTCGCCGAGGCGACACAATCTCAGTTCTGAGCATCCTCAGCGACGCACCGACATCCAACGGAAAACACCTTTAGCGTTACCTCGACCAAGGCTGCCTGCGATGCAAGAAAGGAAAGCTGCGCTTATCCCCACAATTTCCGTCAACCGTCGATTTCACAATTTCCGTCAACCATCAACCGTCAATTTCTGTAGTAGACCCGAACAGGACCTCGACGGAGATCGACACTGCGCTACAGCACATTAGCAAAGATGAAACCCCAGCGCAGCAGCACTCCGCCTGCCTCCGTGATTCTGACAGCTGATGTGTTCTGGTTTCGACGCAGGGGCACGTGACATTCAATCGCTGGTGTATTCGATGTGACACCCGTTGACGATGGCGTGCATGCGCCGGCGACGTCTGTTCTGGCGGATGGCGTGACATCGGTCAGTTGTCATTGACGTGACGCGTAGACCAGAATACCAGTTGATCACCGGCCTGATTCCGGTATTGCATTGGGGTTGGTGATGTCGGCGTAGGTGGTGTTGGTGACGATGCGGCGGCAGCCGTGGCGGCGGCTCTTGTGTTGCGAGTCCTGTCGCAAGTGCTAATTCGTCGGCGTGGCACGTGACGTCCTCTCCGCCGCCTGTTCACGGAACTCTCTTTTCAGGCGCCGTCGTCTGTTTGGCGACGACGGCCTCGAGCGGCCGTCCAACTGCGAACAAATCACAGAGCTGTCCGCGACCGCTCTCGAGACTGCCCTCAACCCTCGCGGCACGTGACTGAGCGCCACACGTGGCGGTCGGCCAGACGCGACAGCGCAGCGGCCGCCGTCGCCATAGCAACGCGCCGGGATGGCTGACCCGGCGACCCCGGGTCGCGACGCGGCACCTCAGATGTCGGCGCCGACCGACGAGGCGTGGTACAACATCTCGTGCATCGAGTACAAGCGCGCGCAGCCGGATCTGTCGCTGCGCGACTGGGGCGAGATGCATGACTGCGTCTGCGCTAGCGGCAACATCTCGGTGCATGAGTACCAGAGCTGGGGATGTTCGTACTACGACGAGCTGCCCGACCCGGCGTTTGAGGTAAGCCGTCGTTGACGCAGTTGGGATGAACCGGGAGTTCAACGCGGGGGGCCGGGTTCAAATCCCGTCTGGTGCCGGGTGTGAGCGTGAATACCGTGGTGGCTGACTGCGTGGCGGGCTTGCGCCACGAAATAATTAACGGCCCGCCGTTTCTGTGTTAGCATCCGCGGTGGGAACTTCGCATGTTAAGCGGTGGCGGGCATTGTTGGAGTGGGAGCCGTGACCTTCCACCGTGGTTTGGGAAGGAGGTAGACCCCGCAGTGTGTGAGGTCATCCCCTTCCGCTTCGGCACGCTCAGACACGACAATGGCTCCGAAAACACATTGCAAAACTGCTTTTCCCTCTCAGCCTGTCCCTTCGCCTAGATCCGTCAAGCTGCGCCGCCCCTGATTTCATGAAACAGGTTACAATTTCACGTTATAAGTTATTTGAACCGGTGCTGGCGACACCTGCGTGTCATAATTAATTGATAAATTAATTAATTGATAATTGATTGATACTTCCGCCGCGGGCGTCAGTAGTGGTCAGCTGACTTGCAGGTAACCCTCACGCCATTTTTAAAGCACTTGAGGCGCGTCGCCCAGCGACGTTCATGGAGCGCTGGCAACAACGCAGGTCACATTAGTGCCCGCGGGCGGCGGCGCAGCTGAAACTGAGCCGCAGTCCTTCCATCTCAGAGCTGAATGGCTTCACCTCCTCACCACTGCGCCGCGTCCGTCGGCCACCTAGCAGCGCTCATCACCCGTGCTTAAATCATTACGGACTGTTGAATTAGTTGCCTTGATCGAATGCGCTGCTCCCGCGGATAGGGCCTGTGCGAAGCTCAAGCCCTACATGTGTGAAAAGTCGCAGCCTTCTGAGGTGTCAGTGCATAAGAGTGGTGTCAATTGTTGCAGTGGTGTCAGTGGTGTCAATTTTTGCAAATTATGGGTAGGGGGGGGGGGGGGGGTAGGGCAAAGCAAAGGCCCAACAACCTACCCCCCCCCCCACATATTTTCATCGGATTTAGTCCACTTTATTTTGATTAAACACAATGTACGTTTTTAATATTAGTGTAATTTATCAGTCTTTAATTTAAGCATTATAGAAGTCATGCAGGGTTGGATTCAGGGAGCAGGCACGAGAAGCACGCGTCTCTTCTGATCGGCACGTGAGGGTGTCCTTTTGGAGGCCACCTCAGGGCACCGACGGCGCTCTTCTATGACGGTCATGGCAGGCGACATGTCTTCATGTCGCCTGCCATTATCTTCGCTCCCAGCGCATCTTCTATCATGGCAGGCGACACGCAGTTTGCTTGTGGGGAACGGAGACGGGGTTGGCCATGAAGGACTTAGACAATTACCAAGAGATTTTCACTTAACCTCACAAACTATTGCGTGTCTTATGGCACTCGGTATGTGAAGCTTACTGCATTGTTTATCTGCTCAGCTGTTACGATTTGGATCTTGTGGTGAGAGAAGCCTTGACTTTTTGCTGTGAGAGTGGTACGAGACGCCACTAGGCAGAAAGATCAAAGGCGGTATTATTTGTGTTATGATCATCTTTGACCCACGTTTTTTGTAGCATTCCGGCCAAAATCATTGGGGGCCGATTCACCATGAGGGAGGCAACTCAACATTGGGGGAATGGGGGGGGGGGGCAAGGACCCACAAAAGGGGACAAATCGACGCCCGTGGTGCACAGTGTAAGTGAAGGGTAAAGAAACAACAGTTTAAGCAAACGTCTGGGCGAGGTGCAACAAATAAACGCCAGCGAGCTTGCCTCAATTTCGATCATTCACACATGCGATCTCGTGTGGCGTAAAGGCCCGTCACTGGGCAGCGGACCTGAAAATCAAACTTGCGCAACTTTCGATTTCCGTCCTTTTCGCTAAAGTTGGCTCACTTCCGTTGCGCCACGCTGTTCTGGTCCACGAAACGCGTACTGATCGAGCCGGCTCAGTTCTTGGCGAAAAAATCGACAGAAATCCAGCGCAAATGCAGAGCAGGTGGGGAACGTGACAAAATTTCGAAAGCACCTCTGAAATGGAAAGAATCGCCTATCGGGGAGTTTGTCAAGCTTACCGTCGGTGGCCGACTCGTTTTTCGTTCGCAGACCGCCCCAGAAGGCCACCAGGCCGAGATTTAGACGTAGCGCGCATTGAGGTCTGCCGATGCCCCGGTATCTTTAAAGCCCCATATAAACGAGGCATTTTGGCGGGTTATTTGCCCAAATGGAGCGCAAGGCGCCTGCGAAACAGCAGCTGGGAGACGCAGCGCTTTGGCAATAGCACGGATCGACACGGATTTATTGGCCGAAGGCGCGGTGGGACGCGACGTGCTTTGAATGCGTTGCGCCAGGAGAGAAGATAATTTGGTAAATATTATAAATAGTTCATGCATATTTCATGTATATGTACATATACATTTGATAGAAAACGCGCTGAACATAAATTTTCCGGCTGTTGGTGATTTACATGTTTTGTTTTCTAGCACGGCCGCCAGAACGGTGCTCTGATTTCAATGTCATAGCACAGATCAACAAGCGTCTGCAATCCTGTTCTTTCGCCATCTCTCTCTCTCTCTCTCTCCTCTCTCTCCTCTCTCTCTCTCTCTCTCTCTCTCTCTCTCTCTCTCTCTCTCTCTCTCTCTCTCTCTCTCTCTCTCTCTCTCTCTCTCTCTCTCTCTCTCTCTCTCTCTCTCTCTCTCTCTCTCTCTCTCTCTCTCTCTCTCTCTCTCTCTCTCTCTCTCTCTCTCTCTCTCTCTCTCTCTCTCTCTCTCTCCTCTCTCTCTCTCTCTCTCTCTCTCTCTCTCTCTCTCTCTCTCTCTCTCTCTCTCTCTCTCTCTCTCTCTCTCTCTCTCTCTCTCTCTCTCTCTCTCTCTCTCTCTCTCTCTCTCTCTCTCTCTCTCTCTCTCTCTCTCTCTCTCTCTCTCTCTCTCTCTCTCCTCTCTCTCTCTCTCTCTCTCTCTCTCTCTCTCTCTCTCTCTCTCTCTCTCTCTCTCTCTCTCTCTCTCTCTCTCTCTCTCTCTCTCTCTCTCTCTCTCTCTCTCTCTCTCTCTCTCTCTCTCTCTCTCTCTCTCTCTCTCTCTCTCTCTCTCTCTCTCTCTCTCTCTCTCTCTCTCTCTCTCTCTCTCTCTCTCTCTCTCTCTCTCTCTCTCTCTCTCTCTCTCTCTCTCTCTCTCTCTCTCTCTCTCTCTCTCTCTCTCTCTCTCTCTCTCTCTCTCTCTCTCTCTCTCTCTCTCTCTCTCTCTCTCTCTCTCTCTCTCTCTCTCTCTCTCTCTCTCTCTCTCTCTCTCTCTCTCTCTCTCTCTCTCTCTCTCTCTCTCTCTCTCTCTCTCTCTCTCTCTCTCTCTCTCTCTCTCTCTCTCTCTCTCTCTCTCTCTCTCTCCTCTCTCTCTCTCTCTCTCTCTCTCTCTCTCTCTCTCTCTCTCTCTCTCTCTCTCTCTCTCTCTCTCTCTCTCTCTCTCTCTCTCTCTCTCTCTCTCTCTCTCTCTCTCTCTCTCTCTCTCTCTCTCTCTTTTACCAATACCCGGCTGCTTCGGAAGGCTGCAGAGAAGCCGACGGTGCCGTCATTTTTGGAAATTTTGACGCTATTTTGGTCTCATTGGGTCACAGAACGGGGTTTTTGGGCCTGAACATTACAGACACCGTGTAAAGTAGTTCGTGTTTCTTATACCCTCACTTTGTTTACCGTTTTTAACCATGTGTTGCTAAAATATCGTAAGTTAGGCGCATATTCCATGCTGTTGTTATTATCACTATTGGGGCTTAATGGCGCGCTCACGACCGAGATTATCTTGATAATCCTCCTAGTATATTGATAGTTTGCATCGATGTTCTGTCCATTGTCCTTTAAACTGTAAGCTGTTCAGCGCATTTGCGAGGAACATTATTCACATAGATAAGACAGTAGTAGTAGCGTTATTCGTCGGAGAAAAACCAGGCGGATGGAGATGTTGAAATATATCTTCATTCTCCTGGTGGACATATATCTCTGTAACGGAGATAGTGGAGATATATCTCCATTCTCTTGGTTTTTTTTCAAGGAAAAAGCTATTACTACCGTCTTTTCTCCAAACTGTACACACTGAGAGCGTGCTTAGTGTAAGATGTACAAACGTTCCGTTTTGACTGTTTCGACCGTTTTCGCATCATCTGTCTGGACAAGGTGTGTAATGCAAATGTCGCGAATGTTCACCGATATGGGGACGCTGAAAAGCATGCTGTGGGTTTTATAACCAGTGTCAGAAGCTTTTTGTAGCCTATTTTAGGCGGACGCCGATCGGCAGGCAGTGGTTTAAACTATCTAAGCTTCATTCTGCGTTGATTGCTTGCTTCGTAAGTAAACGCCGACGACATAATTGGGCATCCAACTGCGATTGGTGCATTTGGACGATCGGAAGTCGTACTTGTTAAACTGCCAGCGATCGCTGTTTGGGGCCTGCTGCACATGGGAAGAGAGGCACCCGTCGCCACTGCGGGATGTCCGCCACCCATTGCATGCACATTGAGGTTACCTGTCTGGTTCAGCTGAGGCATAACGTTTGTAAATCTTATCTCAAAGCCCAGCGGTCTGATTTAGGCGGTTCTAACGACAGTTGAGAGCCCTTTATTTATGTCACGTCATGAGTTATATGCTCATTAGTGTTATGCTGGCCCAGCCAAGTTGGCCAACAAGTGCTAGTTAGTACAGCCGATTAAAATTTAGGAAGGCGAGGGCGAACATAGATATCTACTCGCAGTAATTTATGTTCATTGGCAAACGGCAACACGGAGTTGTCAGATCCCTCCCCCTCACCCCCCCCCCCCCCCCCCCGCCCCCCCCGCCCCCCCCCCCCCGTGGACATAGGAACTCGGTTGCAGGATTTTGCGAGCCTTGTGATGACCAACGATCACAAACTGTGGTAAGAAAGATCGGCTAGGTGTATTTGCACACAAAAGAGCAATGACACGTTATGTCTATAAGACATAAGTGCTAACACATATTACTGAGGTTTACTGCTTATCCTAGTCTTTGTTTGCTATCTATGTTTATCGAGCTGCATATATCACAATGGAATTATGTACTTCCAGCGAGACACTCCCTGTGATACTTTAATTCTTTTCAGGATCAATTGACCTATGCATACAAGCTAATTCACACTTCAGACCGTAAGGGCGTTGATTAGTGAAGGTTTTACCCATTGGTGATTATCAGAAATTCCCTGATTTTGTATTTGTTTTGAAGCTGCATTGCCCAAATTCAGACTTGGGTAGGTGGTGATGCGGATTAGTGAGTGGATTGATGGAAATACACTTTATACAGCTAGCTGGACATCCAAAAGGGTTTATCAGTTCCATACAGAAGAAAATGCACCCGCGCAGCCTTAGTTCTTGCGTGGCCTGTAGTAGACCTTTGTTTCACTTAACTGCATTCAAATTGATGAAGTTTATAAATCAATTAATGTTTGCTGCCACCGCCACTACTTTACATTTTTGCGCGCGCGTTGTGCATGGTTCAAAATGAAACGGGATGGCAAGATGCTTACGGACATATACATATATATATATATATAATATATATATATATATATATATATATACATATTGCGATATTTATTCATAGGACATGTGCGAGGCAGCGGCGGCATTTTGGCCTGGTCGGTGACGCATTGAACCTGATGACCATGTTGGGTGTAGAAAAAGGGAGTGCAGAGTTGATTAACCAAAGCGCGGCGGCTATGGATATTTCACCGTATTCCTCTGAGGCTAACAGCTTCAACTCAAATGGCTAACACGATAACACCCAGAAGGGCAACACGGGGAATGATATGGAAAGACAGCCTTAGCCGACGAAGACTGCATAACTACAATAGATAAACAAAACTACGATAGATAAACATAATTACAATAGACAAACATAACTACAATAGATAAACATGATTACAATAGATAAACAGAACTAGAATAGACAAATGAATAAAGTAAAACTTGCGTCTGCCCCTAAAACCGAATAGTTTAGCTGGGTGTGGCACCGCTTGTCTCGCCCGGACTAACACTGTCTTCATGGGTCCGACCACGGACGCTCTGGCCGTGAATCTCGTTTCAACTGCCTCATGAGCTTCAACATGACTCTGACTTGAACTGCACGTCGTGACCCCGAATGGAACAGCCCGTGCTCGTGGTCACCTTCATCAGCTGTCATGGCTCTAACCTGGGCCGTCTGCCGCCGCAGGTGGCCGTCTGGCTCTCCTACATTGTCATCGTCCTGCTCTCCGTGGTCGGCAACAGCCTCGTCTGCTACGTGGTGATGTCGTCGGCGCGCATGCGCACCGTCACCAACTACCTCATCGCGAACATGGCGGCGGGGGACCTGCTGATGACGGTGCTCTGCGTGCCGTTCACGTCGTCCAGCGTGATCCTGCTGCGCCGCTGGCCGTTCGGCGAGGCCATGTGCTGCCTGGTCTCCTTCACGCAAGCCGTGTCCGTGTTCGTCTCGGCTTTTTCGTTGATCGCCATCAGCGTGGACCGCTACCGCGCCATCATCTACCCGCTGCAGCCGCGCGTGACGCGCCAGCACGCGCGCGTCATGATCCTCTTCGTCTGGCTGCTGTCGGCCGGCACGTGCGTGCCGATCGCGGTCACGTCGCGCACGTGGGTGCCGCCGTACCCGCGCTACGCGCTCAACCAGTACCAGGTGTGCCAGGAGGTTTGGCACAGCGAGGGTGACCGTCAGTACTACAGCCTCTCCGTCATGGCGCTGCAGTACTTCCTGCCGGTGCTGGTGCTGATGTACACGTACGGCCGGATCGCCGTCGAGGTCTGGGGCAAGCGGAGCAGCGGCCTCTTCGAGCAGCAGGACCCGCGCGAGGCACGTCTCTCCAAGACCCGCCGCAAGGTCAGTCGAGCGCGCGGCGGGCGTCGCTCGCGTGACCCGCGGGGGCGGGCGGAGGGAGGGCCGCGGCGTGGGGTGCGTTCTGATGGAGGCCGGGCGGCGTGGCCACGCCCCCGCATCGTCAGCAGCCTCGGGTGAGCGGATAACACGGCCTGCGGCCTCTTCCCGCTGACACGGACGCGAAAGATCCGTGTTTTACCACAAGTGTCGCACGCACGCAGCCACTTTGATACGCCATATGACGGTCCTTCCGTACCAATCGCATAAAATGCCGTCTTTTCATCAGAAAACGCGCCTTGGTCTCCCGCCGTTTGCCCGATATCACTCTCTTCAGGCGTAAATGTGACCTAGATATGACCCCGCTTCGTCGCCGTGCTGCACCCTTCCTCCCGAGCGTCTCTGCACTGCGCGTTGGATTGCCAACGGCGGGTGGGCGACCGAGACTGCGCGGCTGCGTGTTCTCCGGCGCTTCCGTCGGAAATGAGACGCTTGGCCATTACCCCGCACCAAAAGTTCTCGCGGGTCGGTTGACTTCCCAGATAAGGCGTTTGACCTTTGCTGAGCACTCTCACCCCAACTTAATCGATTAGCATCAGATGACTATATCTGGCTCGAGGCGTTTGGCGAGGGATCACAGCCATCACAAGGTAACGACGGAGTGCGTCTTGCCGGACGTCCGCCGACGTACAGTGTCACCTGAGAACGGTTAATGTTCCCACCGGCCAGCGTGGCAGTGTCACCTGAGAACGGTCAATGTTCTCACCGGCCAGCGTGGCAGTGTCACCTGAGAACGGTTAATGTTCTCACCAGCCAGCGTGGCAGTGTCACCTGAGAACGGTCGATGTTCTCACCGGCCAGCGTGGCAGTGTCACCTGAGAACGGTCAATGTTCCCACCGCCCAGCGTGGCAGTGTCACCTGGGAACGGTTAATGTTCCCACCGGCCAACGTGGCAGTGTCACCTGAGAACGGTCGATGTTCTCACCGGCCAGCGTGGCAGTGTCACCTGAGAACGGTCGATGTTCCCACCGGCCAGCGTGGCAGTGTCACCTGAGACCGGTCAATGTTCCCACCGGCCAGCGTGGCAGTGTCACCTGAGAACGGTTAATGTTCCCACCGGCCGGCATGGCAGTGTCACCTGAGAACGGTCGATGTTCTCACCGGCCAGCGTGAAATACGGCGGGTTCCCCGGTTCACGTGAGAGGCTTGATGCGGGAAGTATACCCGGACTAAGTGAGTCGACTTGTCGGTCGAGGCCGAGCTTACCGTTCTGGTCGCACGCGGTGGTTAAAGACCTGCGCCAGAAATATCGAGACAGACTTGCCCCAGCGCTGTGCCGAACAGAACGAGCCTTGGTCGCTCTTCGTCTCGAGCACTGCCTTTTTCGCGCCTGGGATGTACGTTTACGGTGTAGGGGCGTTGGAGCATGCCTTGTTAACCAGCGTTTGCGTAGGAGCGTCTGTAGGAGCGTACGGTGCACGCTCCATGATGTGATAGCCTTGGAGACGAGCATCAGTCACCAAGCCGCTCTTTCGCATTGAGAAGACATGCCAGCTGGCTTGTGAACTCAGACTAAGGCTGGAGTAGTGATGACACACAATCTGTGGGATGGCATGCTGTAATGTCACACTAGAATGCATGAATGCTGCAGTGGTGTGAGTGAGTGATGCAGTGGTGTGAGTGGCGCAGAGGTGTGAGTGATGCAGTGGTGTGAGCGATGCAGTGGTGTGAGTCACGCAGCGATGTGAGTGATGCAGTGGTGTGAGCGATGCAGTGGTGTGAGTGACGCAGCGGTGTGAGTGGCGCAGAGGTGTGAGTGGTGCAGTGGTGTGAGTGATGCAGCGGTGTGAGTGATGCGGTGGTGTGAGTGATGCAGCGGTGCATGGGTGCTGTCCGGATCAGAGTGCTCGCCAAGCCCAGGCGTAGCTGACACACACTGAACCCGCTCCCTACGTGCTCGCAACTATAAACAAGCTGTCCTCGGCCGTCCGACCGAGCTGGGAACGTGTTCCGTGCAAAGCCTGAGCTCGTCGGCCGTGGTGGCCGTCCGCCTTCGTCGACTAAGTCGGACGTCGGAAGCGAGGCTTGAACCCTCGGTGTGACGTCATGCTTGGAAGGCGCGGCGACAGCCACGATCTTGAGGCGGAGGCAGCGCGAATGGAGCTGACCAGGGGCGGATCTAGCCTGGAGTCTTTTTTTGGGGGGGGACCAACCGTTCGTCGCCAGCTGGCTGGTGTGGGATCCGAGGTCCAGTGCGTGGTGCCTCTCGCGAGTACCTAGTAGGGACACCATTCAAAACCGAAAAAAAACACCGAAATGCTTTTGAATCTTAAACAGAAGTTAAACAGAACAGTTAAAACAAAGTTAAAACAGACGGTAAGTAGACGAAACTTTTTATCAAGTTCTGGGAATGTTCTGGGGGGGGGGGGGGAAACATACTCTCAGAGGTTTTGGGGGCCATGGCCCCGTGGCTTCCCCCCCCCCCCCCCCCCACTACCCACCGCCGGATCCGCCTATGGAGCTGACCACTAAACGATGCGGAGAACATTCACATGGTATCTGAGCCCTTTCTTTCCGGGATGCATCACGAAAAGTACGAAAAGTGCTGACGTCGGTGACGGTTTTTGCAAGCATCAGCAAATTCATGTTAACGATGGAAGTCATTATGCTGCTTCAATGACTGCATGAATGGCACCAATAAGCATAACTCTTAGGCTGGCTCATCATGTGTTGTCAAATTTCTGCTGCAGGACTGCCGGCGCAAGTACCTCATCCCTCGAAGTTCAGTTCAGAAGTTCAGTTCAGAAGTTCAGCGAATACTTCCAGCGTGCTTATTAACAGGAAGTGTTCTGAGCCAATCCACGAAAGAAAGCTGCACTCGCGAGTGACCAGCCCAACCCAAGGATGCAGTTATTACAGTTGGGCGGACGGCATTCTGTGGCTTTTTTAGGGATCGCTGTGGCTTGAGTGTTGTTGAAATCCCGCTGGGAATTGCCAGGAGTGTGATGTCTATCTTTTGCACCGACTCGCCACTCCCTTCTATACAAACCATGGCGCTCGCATGTAGGCGTTTTCAGACAGTCGCGAATTGACAGGCAACCGCCAGAACGGGACGAATGAGTGCCATGTCCGCACGATTCGGTTCGATCCCCACCGAATTCCCAAGCTTGCCGCACAGGACCATGAACGTCCTCGTTGGCAGCACGTCCTTGGCAGTACTCTCACATCGCGGGTCCCCCCCCCCCCCCCCTCCGCGCTCCCGCCGCGCCGTTGACCCGGGATGCAGAGAGTTGATTTGGACGAGGTTCCGCTTGGCTCACTTGCCGGCTGTTCTGGGTAATGTCGTGCCTCCGGTCCGACACGTGTCTGGTGCGCGGCGTTTTGAGCCTGCTTGGCTGACCCGGTGCTGACCCGGTGCTGACCCGGTTGCGCAACGTTTTGAGCCTACTTGACTGACCCGGTGCTGACCCGGTTGCGCGGCGTTTTGAGCCTGCTTGACTGACCCGGTGCTGACCCGGTTGCGCAGCGTTTTGAGCCTGCTTTGCTGACCTGGTGCTGACCCGGTTGCGCAGCGTTCTGAGCCTGCTTCGCTGACCTGGTGCCGACCCGGTTGCGCAGCGTTTCGGGCCTGCCTGGCTGACCCGGTGCTGACCCGGTGCCGGGTCCGGGCGGCGGAGTTTCTGCGCAGCAAGCTCAGGATCTGCAGATCGAATTAAAGCGTCGCTTTAAGAGAGTCATTTAGCAACAGAAATTGCGAAGTTGAGCAGTAAAGTGGCTAAACCTGCCTCAAAATATGCACGAGTGAGCTACTCGCCGCAGTTCACCCAATATCATCTAGAGTGACTATAAATCAACAGGAAATTGTACCGGCGGACCGGCTCAGTTTCGTCGATGCTGGGATGGTGAAATCTCGAACATTACGTTATATCCATATGGAGAACATCCGTAGGAGGCATTTCTTTCTCACCATATTGTCAAAGTGGAACGCCCTCCTCAGTATGGGTATGGACATTGCACAGTCACGTGCGTTGTGGATCATCATTCAAGAACGTCTGCTTGCGGGAATGGTCTGTCGACCTAACAGTTTCCCAGAGTGCTTCTTTGTCGAGGTCTGTTTCTGGAGGTTAGTTCGTGTAGTGTAGTGCCACGGCGACATTGCCGCGGCGGTAACTACGAACCCCCGCAAAGAAAATGTGAGGAACGGACTGAACAGCCGTATTGATTAAGTGTCTATCTTGCTACTCGCACGCTACCGCAAATCATTGATTTGTGTGCTCTGACTCGCCATAACATGTAAGTAAATCAAAAATGACGCAGCTTATGAAATATTTGATATGGAAGCCTAACCAGCCACGGTGTTGCAATCAACTGCGCGTTGTTGCCACAAAGGGCGTGGGGCGAACGAAGCTTGCGTCAACAAACCGGGAGTAATACAGGTTTATCCATTCAGTCGAGGGTCTGACGTGCAACGACGTGACGTGACGTGGTCTGACGTGACGTGTCTTTGCAAATAGTGATCGCACCGCAGTGAAATTGTCTGCAACGAGCAGCGCAGTTCCTTGACAGTTGCGCTGAAGTACTGTCAAGGTACTTAGATGCATTGCGTCCCGTTAGGATTGTATTTCTGCGACGCGCCAGCTTCACCATCATGTTATATGTACAGTTGGTCCACGCTTTTCACGCCTCCACTCATACGAAACGTCAATTTTCAAATCACGAAAATCTGAGGAACACGGGTGGGAAGTAGATCGGAATCTTGGCCACGAGACGTTAAAACGAGACTCTCTAACACTGACAGGGGCGGGGGGGGGGGGGGCGGCGGGCGAATGGGCAATCACACTGAGTGAGGCTCAATGGGCGCAGGCGCTTACGCGACGACGCGCAAGCCATGGATCCGTCCATTTTCGATTTTCTTTGAAGTTTATGTCAGATTTTGGCAGTAGAGCGGACAGAGACGCAAAACCTGCTGTACGATAAAGACGAACTTACATTCCACCGTCTTGCC